TGAGAGTTCTCAGAGCAAAGCAGTTCTAACCGAACTACGCACAAACACTCCAACTTAAAGCAACCAAATCAATACGATTATATACAATGGAACTGCCTTACTCTTATTTCTCTCATCTATTGATGAGAGATCTCAGAATGAGGCAGTTCCAATCGAACTACTCACAGACAGTCCAGCTAACCAAACCGAATCAATACACATATATACATTGGAGCTACTTTACTCTGAGTTCTCTCATCAATTGATGAGAGATTTCAAAGTAAAGCAGCTCCAAAAAGAAAGTGAGAAGAAAAGAAGGAAAAAGAGAAGAAAGAAAAGAAGGAGAGAGAAAGAGGAAAAGAGAAAAAAAGGACATATTAAATATGATATGCTGTTTTTAGTGCCGAGGCGGCGAAGCCGCCGAGGCACGATTTTTTTGGTCTCTTCCTTCCACGTGGTAAGCTTTTTTAAAAGTTTGGACAGACATAGAAATACTATATATATGTAGATTGAATTCTTTTATTTTGGCACTTTTTATTTTTTTAATGTTTTTTTCTCCAACACTCAGCCCCCAATTCAAATCAAGCATTTACCAACGTAAAATACCAGTATTCCAATCAATAAGAGGACAGTTCTGTCAAGACCCTTCCTGATTTGAAGGAACTTGAAAGAACTGCTCTTTAACCGACTTCAAATAAGAAAATTTCACTCATATTATCATGTTAACATCGAAACTACTGCCATTTAGAGAGCAGTTCTTTCAAGATCTTCGAAGATTTAGAAGATCTTGAAAGAACTACTCTTAAAATGGCAGTAATTACAGTAACTTTCTACTTGATAGTAACAATACCGAAGCTACAGCCATTTAGAGGGCAGTTCTTCCAAGATCTTCCAAATCTTCGAAGATCTTGAAAGAACTACTCTTAAAAATGGCTGTATTGCGAGAGGGTTTGATTTTTCGTTTATTAAAATTGTATTCTATGATATAATTTAATTCAAGATTTGTATTTCTGTTATTTTTGTGATATCATTCAAGTATATATATCAGAATATGCACATAATGATACCGCATATACTTAAACTATGCGTATTTAAATCTTAGTGATCAATATAATTTTTTTTTGTAATATCGAATAAAAGTTTGTTTTCGCATTTCCGTTTTATTTGACTAGATGAAGATAAGAATTCTTGAGAACGATTTTAAATAAATTGCCAAATTGAAGAATTCGATATATGATGATATTCACTGATTTCTGCCAAACTTGTAGGAATGAATCCATTTAGAATAAAAACGATTTGTGCATTGGAAGCTCAGAACAAGTTATGTTCATTATCCCAATATGAAGAAAATGCACGTTTAGAAAAAGACGATAACGATTAAATTACAAAATCGATAACGACCCGATTTCGACGATCGTAGTCAATATTAGTTTCACTCATGTAAACACAGTGGAATTTAATAGAACTAGTATGGCATATTTGTGTGATATAAGTAAATTATGTATATCTCAAATTTTATCTCTGATGCATAACTTATTCTCACTCAAAAATAGTAATTTCATGTTCTTATTCACATTGTGATCATTTGCTATATGAGTTTAAATAGATTCATATGTGTATAAGCTATAATAGTGAAATTTTAAGAGAGTTGAAATTATATGATTTGATGTGTATGAGTATTTTCCCATTCTGCACATATATATGCAGGGTCTATCACTGGCACCCTGCACCTATATGTGCAGAATGGGAAAAGCTCGCACTTTTTACTTGCGATGCGAATGTGTCAGACACAATTCCCATTCTGCACATATATATGCAGGGTCTATTACTAGAACCCTGCATATATATGGGCAAATCATGAATTGCTTGCACTTTTTCACTTTAATATGAAACATTAGATTTTAATTTAAGAAAGGAGTTTACAAATGCAGGGTATTGTTCCTTTACCCTGCATTCGTAAACTCCTTTCTTGAATAGCTTGCACTTTTTCCTAAGAATGTCACATCGAAATTTAAATTCAAGAAAGGAGTTTACAAATGCAGGGTATTGTTCCTTTACCCTGCATTCGTAAATTCCTTTCTTGAATATCTTCATTTCTTTAAATTATAAATATCACATTCAGTATTAAACTCGTCAAATCTCCTCAATTTCTCTTTATAATCATAAATAAACATTATCTATATTTCTTAAATTTCTCTATCTGTTAATTTTCATATCAAATTTCTCATTTTTTCAATTATTTTTCAATTTTTTGATTTTTTGGAAATATTTATTCAATTTTGTGTTGAATTTATTCAATTCTCTTTATATAATAAAATTATTCATTTTTATTTTTTAATTTTTGAATACATACGATAATTTTTAATTCAATTTTTAAACGAATGTTTTGATGGGACGAGCTTACTGAGCATAGGCTCATCCCATCAAAACATTCACTTAAAAACTCTGGCTTTCATCGAGGCCAGAGTCCACAATTCATCACCTCAGAGCCAAGTTCCTCCACGGTCGTCCTCATTAGGAATGATCCGAGAGGAACTTGGCTCTTCATGAAACTCACAGCTCTGGCCTTTCCTGAAGCCAGAGCTTCGCAAACCATCCTCGGGGCCGGTTTCCTCAAAGACCGCCCTGATTCGGGGCGGCCGGAGAGGAATCCAGTCCCGAGAGAACCTTTATACGAAGCTCTGGCCTCTGCTAAGGCCAGAGCCTGCACATTTAATCCTCAAGGCCGAGTTTTGCGATGATCGTCGATCATGTCGACGGTCTCGCAAGAACTCGGCCCTGAAAGACATACAGATACAGGCTCTGGCCTTAGCAAAGGCCAGAGCTTCGTTTTAAATACTCAGGGCCGGCTTCCCCAAATGCCGCCGTTATCCCGGGCGGCAGGAGCGAAATCCGGCCCTGGGACAATTACAAAACGAAGATCTGGCCTCTGAAGAGGTCAGAGCCAGACAATTTAATAATCAGGGTCGAAATGCAAAGATGATGCCGGAAGGAGCGCCTAGACCGGTCAGAAGCGCTCCTTCCGGCACCAGAAAGACTAGAATGGAGCCCTGACCTTGAGAAAGGACCCCCTTCCCGGTCTTTCTGGCGAACTTTGCTTCGCATTGCGAGTGTCTGCTGCGAATCCGGGGCTGAGCAGCAGACACTCGCAATCATAGGTCGCGGCAAGTGCACCTGCTGTGCCAGAATGCACTTGCCGCGACAATTGCGAAATGCAAAGATGATGCCGGAAGGAGCGCCCAGACCGGTCAGAAGCGCTCCTTCCGGCACCAGAAAGACTAGAATGGAGCCCTGACCTTGAGAAAGGACCCCCTTCACTCTCTTTTGTCTAAAATTCACAACTTAAAACTCTGATTCTTTGTTATATTCCCAACTCCACACTATCTCCAACTTTTACTAACAAATACAAACCAAACGGATATATAAAACACATATATTATCGATTCTCCCTCTTTGATGCAAATCACATTCTTAACTCATACATCTAATTTATTCAAACAAATATCTCAACCATAATCATAAAGGCAAACCTTATTAATACCTTAAATATTCAACCTGTTTCCCCTAATCTCAAAATTTGATAGGTTATATAACGAGTCAACATCCGCGAAAAACGAATAGATGCTCATACACACAAGGTTAAGACAAATGCCGCTGTGATTATGGCTCCAGATATATCCAGTGGCGAAATAGCGATTTTGGCAGAAAAAAATGGAAAATTTTTGAACGATAAGAAAAAAATGGAACCGACCCATATTCTCTACCATCATGCGTTTTTACAATTGGATTTCTGCAAATCTGACAGGAACTAGATAATTAACGCAATTATTACAAGAGACAGTTAATATAATGGAAAATTTGCTGGATTTTCATGAAAACAATCATTTTCACAATAGATATCTAGTTGATTTGGTGTCGAGAAGAAGACTTCTCCTATTTTGTTTTGACATTCAACCTGATTATCAAATGCAATCGTTACTTTTTGAAAAATTAATTTAATGTTCAAAAGAAAGTCATCATGCTCAGTTCTATGTGCTTCATAGGTTTGATATAAAAAGGTGTATAATAAATCAAGATCTACCAAATTTTCAAAATTACGATTAATTAAATCTTGCAAAATCTTTGCAAGTTCAAAAACATCAGAGATATCGCATGTTAGAGTAGAAATATCAATCTTATCAGATTGATATAAACTGTTAGAACATGAAACATTCTGTTCGGTATTCTCGAATTTGATGGAAAATTTGTCGATGATTTCTCCTTTGAATTCTTCCACCTTTATATTTAATTGATTTGCGCAATTAGATATGACAGCATTCAAAAGACTATTAATGATTGATTCATCATGTGGGCAAAAAGTCCATAGTTGTATGATTACTATAAGAAAACAGTAATTGTGCTTGTTGGGTATCCCCAAATTGAAATTATGATTAGACAAAACCTTACAAATGGAAGGATTGAAGTCAACATCATGATTACGTAAGTTAATCTTTCCTTTATTTACTGGACATAAAGTAAGTATCTCTTCCAGATTATTATCTGTAACAATACCTTTCTCAATTCCTGCCTCATGAGATAATCTTCCTTGCATTGCATGTACTGCATCAGCATTTGCAAAAACACAAATTGCAGTCTCATTGTTCAGTCGGCAATACAAATAACTCAGCTCATATAGCTTAAAAACAAAGTTTTCATAATCGCCAACATTCTTGAAATACCAAGTTTTCTGCTTCCAGTCATTTGGGAGATTTTCTGCCCTAAATGACACTGTTTTTCTGCATGTCAGTTCGTCAGATTCGTATCCAGTTTTATAACCATCTACACATTTTTCCTTTTTCCTTTCTTCTTTAAGACGAATCTTTTCGTTAAGGATTTTTGTTTTGTACTTCTCATTATTACGACGATCATGATCATATGCCTTTTTTGCAAAGTATTTATTGATTCGATTTAAGCATGATAAATCATAATGTTCGAAATCAATACAAAATCTTTCAATTAACATTTGTTGCCAGTTCTGATGATTAAACGATAAAACTGTTATAAAACATCTCGCTATAAAACCGACTGTCCAATCTCTTTTTTTCTATATATCTACTTTTCATAGCGTTGAAAAATTCACTGAAGTTTGTGTGACAATTCCGTCTTACAAAATTAAAAAGAACAGCAGTACTATCAATTAAGTCAACAATTTGATCTTTGAGCTTATGATTTGCATATTCAGTTTTCAGACTCAACCATTTTTCGATCTTTTCATCAACTTTAAGATGAGTGCTATTTAAGATTCCTCTAAATCTTATTTCCAAAAATTCGAATTTTTCATTAGTAAAAGTAGAAATTAATGTGTGATTGATGTCTTTTAGAATAACACATTGAGCGCCGGATTTGGCGACCACTTTTCCTGCCTTAGAATCGTTATCTGAAACAAAGGCATTTATATGTTGAAACTTGTCTGTTTTAACTATTTCTTTCAAGCATTCGATTTCCATCAAAGATGGAAATTTTGAATCCTTGTAAATTACAGTTTTTAAACCAGGAAATATTGTATCAGATTTAATGCATATTCTAAATAAACTGCAATATTTTCGATGTAAATTAATTGCTGTTCCGATTGCCTTTTTGGCAAACCGCCGACCCGAATAAGCACCATCATTGCAAAAAAATTTTTTAACATTATCTTTATATAGTTCATCTAATTTGTCAATTTCTTCTAAAACAAAATTTTCCAATTCAATTACTAATTCTCTTTGTCGTGCATATAATGTATCTGGTGAAGGTCTTATATACGAAAAAAGGAGATTTGACAGAATGTCAAATCTCCTCAAAAAGTGACAATTTACATGGCAAACAATTGCGAGCAATTTTTAGCCATTTTGGCTGAGAACTAGGGTCTGCGAGGTACATAGATAGAATCAGTACCTCGCAGACTCTAGTTCTCTATATGGCGCCGAGAAATTTTGGTGAAATTCGACGACATTTCACCAAAATTTTCTCGACGCCATAGGATGAATTGGAGGGTGTGAGATACTATTACATATAATAGTACTCCACCCTCCAAAACCTCGAAAATCTCAAAATTTCCTGCAATTATCATCAACTTTGCATAGCACAATCGGCCAAAAATTCATTCAATTGTCCTTCTTCTCAATATTTCTTAACTCTTTCGATTTCTTTCAAAATATCTTTCAATAATCTTTCAATGATAAATATTATACAAAAACGATTAGTATGAAACTTTTTTGCATTTTAAAAATATTTTATATTTCTGTTTTTATTTCAATTTTTATATTTTTATTTTCCTTTTTTTAGATGAAACTTATTTGTTCACCAATATTCCTTATTTTATAAAATTTTTCAATTGAATACTACAATAATTTTATCTCTCCTTTATTAAATTTTCGATTTTTATGTTAATTCTAATTCTTTGCACTATTTCTTGTCTAAATCTTCTAAAATTTTTATTTTAATTTAATTTGACACATAATCATCCTTTTAATTTTCGATTCAAATCCTTATCCTCTTCATTATTTTTCAATATTTTTTATCGTAATTTGTAAAATTCGTTCTTTAATAGCTGTTTAAATAATCCAAAACCATGATATTTATTATTGTTAATTATTCCTAATCATGTTTTTTCCATTAATTTTAATTTTTTATTTTCTGAACCATTTAAATTAATTTTGTTAAGAATATTTTTTCAATATAGACTTCTGAAATAATTAAATTATTCTCAAATTCTCACAAATTATTTCATTTTAAATTTGTTTAAAATGAATTTGTACACCTTAGTTGATTCAGCTTATCTTGAAACAGCTCTAGCACAGATTCAAAGGCGCACACCGTTAGCCATTGTTCTCACAAATGTTCCATTAGTCAACAACACTATTCGTTCATCAATTAACAAGATAACATTTTACAAAGCTCTCTTATGTAATAGACTAATTACTCTTGAAGAGTACTTACATCATACATACAAACTTCAAGAGTTTACTACTTTCTACATTAAATATAATAATCGACTCTACGAGTGTTCATCCATTTTGAAACACAGAGATGACACTCTCCTTACCGATTATTTGATATTACAAAGTTCAAACGACTCTCGTATACAGGAAGAACCCTCATCAGCCAGCACTCCTCTACAACGCCAGCTTTCATCAGCCAGCACTACCAACTCTGTTCCACAGCAACAACTCTCACCAGCCAACGCTCCTCTACAAAGCCCACTTTCTGCCAACACCCGCCACAACACCAGCTCTCTGCCAACGCTCCTCTTCAACGCCAGCTTTCATTAGCCAGCAGTACCAACACTCCCCCACAGCCACAACTCTCTGCCAGCACTCCCCCACAACGCCAGCTCTCTGCCAATACTCCTCTTCAACGCCAGCTCTCTGCCAACACCTCGGCACAGCAACAACTCTCTGCCAACACTCCTCTTCAACGCCAACTCTCTGCCAATACTCCTCTTCAACGCCAGCTCGCTGCCAACACCTCGGCACAGCAACAACTCTCTGCCAACACTCCCCCACAGCAACAACTCTCTGCCAACACTCCTCTTCAACGCCAACTCTCTGCCAATACTCTCTCTTCAACGCCAGCTCGCTGCCAACACCTCGGCACAGCAACAACTCTCTGCCAACACTCCCCCACAGCAACAACTCTCTGCCAACACTCCTCTTCAACGCCAACTCTCTGCCAATACTCCTCTTCAACGCCAGCTCGCTGCCAACACCTCGGCACAGCAACAACTCTCTGCCAACACTCCCCCACAGCAACAACTCTCTGCCAACACTCCTCTTCAACGCCAACTCTCTGCCAATACTCCTCTTCAACGCCAGCTCGCTGCCAACACCTCGGCACAGCAACAACTCTCTGCCAACACTCCCCCACAGCAACAACTCTCTGCCAACACTCCTCTTCAACGCCAACTCTCTGCCAATACTCCTCTTCAACGCCAGCTCGCTGCCAACACCTCGGCACAGCAACAACTCTCTGCCAACACTCCCCCACAGCAACAACTCTCTGCCAACACTCCTCTTCAACGCCAACTCTCTGCCAATACTCCTTTCAACGCCAGCTCGCTGCCAACACCTCGGCACAGCAACAACTCTCTGCCAACACTCCCCCACAGCAACAACTCTCTGCCAACACTCCTCTTCAACGCCAACTCTCTGCCAATACTCCTCTTCAACGCCAGCTCGCTGCCAACACCTCGGCACAGCAACAACTCTCTGCCAACACTCCCCCACAGCAACAACTCTCTGCCAACACTCCTCTTCAACGCCAACTCTCTGCCAATACTCCTCTTCAACGCCAGCTCGCTGCCAACACCTCGGCACAGCAACAACTCTCTGCCAACACTCCCCCACAGCAACAACTCTCTGCCAACACTCCTCTTCAACGCCAACTCTCTGCCAATACTCCTCTTCAACGCCAGCTCGCTGCCAACACCTCGGCACAGCAACAACTCTCTGCCAACACTCCCCCACAGCAACAACTCTCTGCCAACACTCCTCTTCAACGCCAACTCTCTGCCAATACTCCTCTTCAACGCCAGCTCGCTGCCAACACCTCGGCACAGCAACAACTCTCTGCCAACACTCCCCCACAGCAACAACTCTCTGCCAACACTCCTCTTCAACGCCAACTCTCTGCCAATACTCCTCTTCAACGCCAGCTCGCTGCCAACACCTCGGCACAGCAACAACTCTCTGCCAACACTCCCCCACAGCAACAACTCTCTGCCAACACTCCTCTTCAACGCCAACTCTCTGCCAATACTCCTCTTCAACGCCAGCTCGCTGCCAACACCTCGGCACAGCAACAACTCTCTGCCAACACTCCCCCACAGCAACAACTCTCTGCCAACACTCCTCTTCAACGCCAACTCTCTGCCAATACTCCTCTTCAACGCCAGCTCGCTGCCAACACCTCGGCACAGCAACAACTCTCTGCCAACACTCCCCCACAGCAACAACTCTCTGCCAACACTCCTCTTCAACGCCAACTCTCTGCCAATACTCCTCTTCAACGCCAGCTCGCTGCCAACACCTCGGCACAGCAACAACTCTCTGCCAACACTCCCCCACAGCAACAGCTCTCTGCCAATACTCAGCCTCAGCCTCACCCATCTGTGTCTATTCCCCTTAAGCGCGGGAGACCCAAAGTTAATGTACCAAAAGATCTTAAGGTAACTATTAGAAACCTAATTGAGCAGCATGGCCATCTTGGAATAATCTCCGCCTATAACCAAATAAATAAAGATATCGAATATGCCAAATCTCATTTTGAGGCATTTTTGGACATGAAGACGGGTATTGTTCCACAGCCAACGCCTACCCAAGCATGGTTCTCCGCTATTGAACGTTTTAAGCCCCTGAATCAAATTTCTTCCGCAATTCCTTCCGGACTTATGATTGAAGAGTCTCCATTATCATTTCCATCTGAGCTGAGGAACATTAAATATCTTACAAACCACACCCCCCTCAAGACATATGGTAGAAAGAGCTTTAGAGAGCTAGGCTTTGGCACGTCCAAGGGACCCTATCGGCCAAAAGGAAAGACAAATACTTAGCTGCCTTTCTAACCAAATATGGCACGTTGATATCCACTTCTTGGCAAAAAAGAGAAGTCAGATTCTTTATGCTGTGATTGATGACTGCACAAGGCTCATCATAGAATGGCAGCATCTTTCGTCAAAACATGCTAGCCAAACAGTGAAAGTAATTAAGAGAGTAATAGCCCGTTATGGACCACCACATACAATTTGGTCCGATAATGGCGGCGAGAATAAAGGCCAGTTCCTAAAGGCTATGAGGGTTCGGGGGATCAATAATGTATATATTGTCCCCCATTGCCCATACCAAAATGGGAAAATCGAGCGCTTGTGGCCTAACATAGAGAGCAGAGAGTTGTCATGGGCAAAGATTCAACAATGGGTTGAGTACTATAATGCTAAACCTCATCTAGCATTACCAACTCATTATGTGAATGGAAAACAAATTCACTATAGCCCATCTGAAATGTGGAAGAAACTTCCAATTTGGAAGAGGGGAATGCCGGCAAAATGGATTGTGGATGGAGTCTCTCAAGATTTTCTTCCAGGTTAACTTGTGGCCAATGAGATGCCAGAGCTCCAAGGAATCGAAGAAGATGAATGTGAAAAAGAAGGCGAGGAAGTTGAAGAAGAAGAAAATAAGGCGAATCCGGTTGAAATAGAAGAAGATAGTAATGAAGAAGAAGAAGAATACGAAGTAAATTATGAAGAAGAATATCAAGAAGATTATGATGATTCATTTTAATATTACGAATAAAATGTCACTTTTCTATTTTTGACACATAAAGTTGTCACTTTTTCTGTCAAACTGTTTTTATCGTTTTCGTATATAACAAAGGAACATATATATTAAGCATTGACATTAAGAAAACATATCTAGTGAATCCAATACCAGTAAAATAACACGCCAAAATATGTTTATCTAACTTACAGTTAGAATATTCTTTTCCTTTATGTATTTCAGCAGAATTCACTGTTTTTTTGATTTTTGGCGAAGAAATTTGATTTTGATTAACATTTTGTTTGAAATTCATACCGTAATTTTGAAAAACTGATTGTGATGGATCAATATGATATGCTTCTGAAATATTCGTTGAATTTTCTATTTTATTTATAATTTGATCAAATGAACCTGTCAATTTATTTTCAAAAGTGACATTTGTATTTTCTGACAAATTTTGATTTGTATTATTATTTGTATTTGAGTTATTAATTATAGAATCATTGTCAAATAATTTTTCAGATTCTGAATACGAATCTGATAACATGTCATAATCAGAGGAATCATATTCAAAATCAGATGAATCTTCTTCATAATCATTGTATTCATTGTCTGAAACAGGACGACTGATTTGTTCCACTATATCTCTAATTTTCTCTCCCTCTTCCTCAATGCTAATCTGTGGAGGGCGCTCAATCGCTATAGATGTTTGTGCATTGCTTTCGTCTTCTTCTTGAGTTGTTAATGGTTTAACATTAATATAACTTATTGGAAATTCTATTTCAGTGTCAATATCTGTTTTAAAAGCGAGTACACCTTTAACTTGAGATATATTGTCATGTGTTTTAATGAAATCATCTATAGTAAATCCTTCTTGAGCTGGTATTTCGATTTCAAGTCTCCAAATTTCTTCATTCATGAATTGAAACGATAAAATTTTATTTTTGATTATTCTACTACTATTCATCGATTTTAACAAAAATATGTAAATAAAATTAATTTTGATGGCAACTTTTTTAAATGACAGATATCAAAATAAAAAACAATAAAAAAATATGTGATATATAATGTATACATCATGAATAATATATACAATGATTTTGAAAGCTAAATCTCCACTTTTTAAAATTTTTTATCCTCCTTTTTTCAGGTCCTTGAAAAATGAGTTTTTTTGAAAATAAATTGCATAAATAGCATCTCCTTACATGTACCAATGATGTGGTATAAAGAAAATCATGTTAATCGTTCAAAATAATGGGGAAAAAGTTCTTACTGGAAAAATTTCGAAAAATCGATTTTTTTGATCATTTTTCGAATTCGTCCAAGGAGTTGATTTTATACCTCCAAAGTCTTATATAATATGTAGCTATCTTGATTGATGATTAATATTGCATATTGATCAAAAAATATCATTCCTGTAAAGAAAAAAATAAGCTTTTATTAATTAGGAGGATAAGAGTTTTGAGAAAACTCTCTGAAAAAAATTGAGACTATTTTAATCATCGTAGTGCGCCCTTAAAAAATTTTTTGTAAAGTGTCAAAAATATATATTTGACACTTTACAAAAATTTGCAAATGCACTTTTGTATCCCACCCGAAATTGGATTCTCGAAAGGAGGTTACGTGTACAATGTTATTCCGTATAATATTGCAATTGTAAACTCCTTTCTAAAGTATCTTCTTTATAATATAGGGTTGCAAATTTGGAAAAAAAGTGAGAAGTTTCCAATCTCAAAAAAACACAACTTCTAAAAGACGATTATAAAAAAATTATTTTTTACTTTACATTTTGAAATCCAGAACTTTTTTGGAATTTTTTCGGTGTCTTTCATAACAGCCAATACATACGATAATATATACTGAGCCATTTAAACCATGATTTGAGCATCTTTAAGAATTAGCAATGCTAATGACCTAATCGTTGTCTGGAAATTTCATTTGGAAGTTTCCAAAATTCTTGGCTTATTAAATTTGAGAGAGAATTGGAGAAAATTCAAGGGCTGGAAAAAACATTCACTTTTTGGAAGTTATTAAAATATGTTTTAAAGTGCATTTAGAAACGATATTCTACAACATTTTATTATAAAAAATTAAATTCAAGAATAAGTTTTTTGAAGCTGTAAAATAATTTTTAATAAAAATGCATAAAATAGTATATTGAACATATTTGGTATCAAAAAATTGAATAAAGGAAAAAGTTTTTGGAAGTTAATTTGAATTGTTTACATTTTTTTCTTGATCTGGAAGTAAATAAAAATTCACTATTTAATGCATGCTATAAAGAGGTCATTCACAATATTTCATGTACACATTATAGTTGATTGAAAGAAAGATTCCCAAAATTTGGAATCTTATTTTGCTTCCTAAATTAATATACATAACAAGGGTACGGCGGCACTGCGTTCCACCTTACCCTAGATATGTGAATTTGACACTTTACGAAACCGTTAACGTATATTTTACAACACAAACGACAACACCAACTTAACCTTAAATATTTACAATGCCGCCAACCACTTCACCTCACTAACGTTTTCACAAACGACTTCACTAATGTAAAAAATAAACGTTCTCACTTACAAAAGTATTGCAACTCCTCCCATTGCTGTGCTTCATATAACAGCTCATAATCTTCTGACTCACTTTCTTCTTCATATAGGTCAAAATCACTGTCATAGTTTATACCTGTAAGTTTTGACAAAGCTAATGAAACACGCTTACCGTTTGTATCATATGCTTGTATAAACTTTCCATTATGCTTGTAGTCATAAACGCTCAAACTAACTTTACCTTTTCTCCCTCGTATCTGATAGAATGTATTTTCACGAGGAACGAAGAACAAATTCTTGAACTCATGACCGTTGTAGTTTGTTATCTCAATAGTTTTCGTCATTTATATAAAAATAAAATAAAAAATAAACTTAAAAATTAATGATATCACCACCCTCACACGTATGAAAACATAGCGCAAAAATAAATTTAGGGTAGATGGATATATCTAACCCGATTTCTAACCTCTTTTCTACCCTGTTGAATTCATTGCTTTATAACTCTCTTCCTTGGTTTCTTTTTAGTTGCTTTCTTCACGTCTGTCTCCAACTTGACTGTCTTTCTTCTTCGTCCGTAATGATACCAGTTACTTCCACCAGTCAATGGGTCAAATGGTCTTTCGTAAGGGTTTCCATACATTCCATAGGGACCATACGGAAGAACTACTGGTGGAGAAGAAACATTTTCTTTAGTTCCATCGACTCTATTTAAATGCATTGTTTCACCTTTCATCTGGTCATTAAAGTCTTTTGTGTGTTTTGCAAACTCATCGTCCTTTCCTAAAGCATTTTCTGACTCAGTCGCAACCAAATTGGATGCTTTATTTATGAGCCCTATTTTATTTAATCTTAACTTCTTTGCAACCCAGCCTCCAATCTTCCCTTTATTTGCATCTAATGTCTTCGAAACCCTTCCTCCACTCATTTTATTTACTGCGTCATAAGCTCCAAGTGCTTTTGCTCCAAATGCTAATGCTTTTGTTCCCATTGCGCCTAAAGCTGCCCAAGCTACCATTTACACCATATTAAAATCATCTCTCTTCAATATTATCTCATAAAAGTTCTCGTTACTGGAGAAAGTCAATGAAACATAAGCGTTCTCACGGGCTTCGCCCTCACCGCTTTGCGGTCTATCTAACTTCTTTCTTATATCATCTATACGCTTCAAAATGTCTGAACAATTGCTAACATCTTCTACAACAGTTATTTCATCATGAATGACCTTCAAGAACAAGCTCATTTAATATGCTATTAAAATCATCTCAATAATGAGTCCATCCTTTCCGTCTTTGGGTAGCACAACATCTTTCATTGAAGAAGGTTCGACAAGTCTTATGTTAAACTTACTGACAAAGTTTGTTATACTATAATGCTTCGGCGGCGAATACATGTAGTTTGAAAGACATAATATAGATTCTTCAGCAAATTCACTTATACTGGATTTTATAACAATGTTCTCACGAGACCAAATACCACCAATTGACAATCTTGTAAGCAATCCTGCTGAACCTTCTACTGTAAACGTCGATGGTAACATTCCACGAAGGTCATCTATTGACATCGTTGAGCCACTGTATTTAAATATTTTCTTAAAGCAATCGTCATTATCTAACCATGCAATAGCTTTGAAGTTTTCATTCGAATATACATCTGCTTCATTAAATGTAAATCCTGACTTCTTTGCAGAGATGACTTTAAAATCTATTGAGTTTGTTTCAAAATTATATGCTATGGTAACTTCTGAAGGTAATGGATGTCCTTCCGCAGTAAGTTGTTCTCTCACTACCGTTTGAAGCTTTGTGTTGAAAACTTTCATGTCATCTCCTGTATCTAAGTTCACATACACAGCAACAGGGAAACTATCTTGCTTCTTTGTTTCATCATTATATCTCAAAACATTAAAGTTCTTCAATAATATTGTTCTTCCTGCTGGAATACTTCGAACCTGTCTTATTTCAATAGCTTTCTCACCTCCTACATACTCTACCCAGTGTCTTGGATATTCATAAGTATACTGACTTTCTTGAATTTTGGTTGGTTTCATCATAACATGTTCATAGTATATCTTTATACTCTTGTCAGTTAGACTCGGTGCTATGTTCTGAATATTTCTGACTTGCATTTTTAATGGAGATAAAATGAAGCTTTTAATACATGACGTAGATGAAGACATGAATGAAAGCAGTGAAAAGCTCAACAGTTCTCTCATTCTTCCTTTCAGTAAGGACTATGAGTTCTGTTCAAATGGTGTGTATTTCTATTGTGGAAAGATGGGTTCAGGTAAGACATTTAACCTCATTCGTCATATACTCATAACAGAGCGTTTAGGAAACGACTCTTACTATGACCAAATCATTATATCAGCAACTTCAGACTCTATGGATTCAACAGCGAAAACATTTATGTCAAAAGTTCAAGCCTCTGTCGTTAAAGTTCCAGACAGTGAACTCATTGAATTTCTTCAACGTTACATTCGACGTAAGAGGAAATATTATGCTATCGTAGAGTTCATACAGTCAGGAATGCAAAAGACTTCTGAGGAGATGGAAAGAATTATTGACAAACACCACTTACGTCAATACTCAGGAGTTTACGATATGAAACGACTTACAAACTACATTCTGTCAAAACTTTCAAAATACCCCTTCAAAAAATATCCATCAAACACTTTATTAGTTTGTGACGACTTCGCTGGTAAAGGTTTAGTGTCAAAGCCTGACTCACCATTAGCTAACATCATAACTAAAGTCAGACATTACCATTTAACTGTAGCAATACTTATGCAAACATGGCGTTTCCTTGCTTTAAACATAAAACGTCTCATAACTGACTTCGTTATCTTTCAAGGTTTCTCACGCTATGATATTGAACTCATTTGGAAACAGTCAGGTATAACATTACCTTTTGAAGAAATTTGGGAAGCATATAAGTCTCTCATCTCTCCTCGTTCATACCTTGAGATTCATATCATGACTAATACCATTAAAGTCAAAAATATTCCATGGGAACGACCAACATTGTTTTAAAGTTTAACCTTCAATTGACTGATGGTAAACAAATTCCATGCATCTCTGTCGCCATTTCTGTTAATATTTTTGCTGTCATTCATATCATCCACTTCCCCATCCGTTAGCTTTTGAGGATATGCGTTAGAATAGCTGTTCTTAAATGAAGGCTTTTCACCTTTGAGAGCATAAACTCTATAACTTTCTGCATACTTTATGTTTGAACCTCCTGAGCCATCATTGACATAAATTTTTATAGGCTTCCACCCTTTGTTCATGTTCTTGCTTCTTACCTTAGCTCTTTTGTTCAGTAGTTCTACATCTTTATACACAGCACCTGTCTCAGTGAATTCAACAATATTTTCATTCGTTAGCTTTACATTCAAACCCTTGTCGAGTATATTGTTCATTTCATACATATAAAAGGTTTTTATTCTATATGAAATGAGAAGCAAATCCATCTTAGCTGGTGCCGTTAATGTTCCAATTGAACCAACATCAAATGTTGACTCACGAACGACAAACAATATTGTCATAAAGAACTATAGTTCGGAGTGTTTGAAAGAAAAAGAACCAGAACTTAAATCGGGACCTTCGGTCTTGGAGCATGGCGCCGTGAATTTAAACACAGCTTCAAACGCTAACGCTACATCAGATGTTAAGTTAGAGTATCCACCACTGGACCAAGTTCTTTCAAGAGAAGCCAACGACAACCCTTACACAAATGTTCAAACAAATCCTTCAGATAACGTAGACCATTACCTTCTTCAGTTATACCAAACAATTTTACTCAAAGACGATAAGAAGCTTTTGACAAATCTTATAAGTAAGAACCAAATAATTCTAACAAAGGAGGACCTTGAAAATGTTATCTCACGAATAACAGGGAAACAATGTGTCATTGACTATCTCGACCCTGAAATCGAATGCTGTGGTCAAACTCCACTATTCATGAAAATAGGTAACATCCGCATCATTGAAACACCAGGAACTACAGGAGTTGAGTTTAAGTATAAATATTCGAATGAATATACAAAACTTTCAACAGAATATAAACTTTGCTTGAAATATGTTTTAGTAAATTAAAGCAATTTGTAATATCTATCCAAAACTTCTTCAACAGTATCGAACTCATCTTCATAATGCAAACCTAATCTTATTGACTTGGTGCAGTTTTCACTAACACAATATTTTTCTGTTCTCTTGACTGACATAACTAACTCATTTGTTTCATCAAACAGCAACAACCAAAGTTCATGACCTAATACATAACATTCATACTTTATATTTTTAGCTCTGAGTTCTCTTGTAAGCTGTTGCATTTAATATTTTCTAAAAAGTCAACTTCAACAGTCATTCGCACTGGTGCCTTCAGTTCTACAGGCTCTCCTTGAAAGTCAACAAGTCTGAATTGCATGTCTTTCAAATTATGAGGACTAATGCGAACCCATTTACCTAAATGAGTTGCTATGACAGGAACGTTTGGAATGAACATTGAATTTACTTCATAACAGAAAGACTTATATTCTACTGAACCTTTACTATTAACTCCTGAAATACCTGTGACATTAGCTATTTTTGACTCAATGTACAAACAGTTGCCATAACATACATATGGAACAGATTTCATCTCAATCGTTTTGTCAACACTTTTCAAAGGAAATGTCATATGGTATGCACCCAGAAGCAATTGAACTCTATGACTCATTCTTGGTATCTTAAACTCTTTCTCGCTGCTGAACTTCAATGTTCCCTCAGAAGAGAGTTCGACATCTATGTTGTCAATAGTTTCTTCATTTATGAGAGTATCCATGACTCCAACAATTTTATCTATTCTATACCCAGCTCTGTTAGGAAATGTTATAACACTTCTTTTGTCATCTATTTCAATCTCTATGAAATCTGTTTCATCTGTTATGACAAAAGTTGCGATAGTATTGAAGTCAACAACTCTGAAAGCAAGCGCTTCATTCTGAAGACCTAAGTTTGTTTGTAGCTTTACTGTCCCGTATTCGTTTGGGTCTGTACTTTGCAAATAGAACAACATTTTATTCTCATTAAAATATGACTATTGCTGCATATGCGTATGAAACAAATGAAGCAAGAAGAGCACATGAACTAGTAAACGAAAACTCAACTTTAACCATTGAAGGCAATGATTTAGTCATTGACGATGGAAAAACTAAAAAAGTCATTGATTTCGATACTTTTAACACTTATGACCCATTCATTACAACAAGCAAGGTTCCCATCATAAATGATGGAACGGTGCAATATATAAATTCTACAGTAGATGCCTCATTAGTGAAAGTATTAAATGTTCTCATTGAATTGTTAAAGAGCTTTCGATTTGACGACAACATTAAATGCCTAAAGAATTTAGTCATGAATGAGAAACAAATTCTCGGCGTTGCTGGTAGCAGTAATGATGTACACCTTATGACATTAGAATATTATAACGAACATAAAGATGAACTGAAAGGAGAGAAGGGTGACACCGGACCTCAAGGACCACAAGGAATACAAGGAATACAAGGAATACAAGGACCTCAAGGCGAAAACGGTTTGGATGGTGAAGATGGAAAGGATGGAAAAACTGCTAAATCATGGATATGGAACCTTATAAATACTGGTTTAACAGCTGCTTCATATGGAGTTCTTCAATACCAAATCGGAAAGATATGGGCAGTACTTGGTGAAGAAGTTTTAGATGACGTTAAAAATGCTTTGAACTTCATTTCAAATGGTTCGGATACTATTAAAACTTTATCTGGTTGGATGCAAGAAACAAGGAGTCAAATAGATACTGTAAGACGTATAGCAAACAATGCACGTACGGGATTGGATACTTTACGAGAAGCACAAAATACACTAAAGGAAGCAAATGATATTCTTGGCTCAGTATCAGACATGCATGAAGATTGGCTTAAAGGTATTGACAAATCTTTAAAAATCACAGTCAGTCTATTGCTGACTACAAGAAAAGTATAGATTTTTTACATAGTGCTATGGACGTCCATGATGGAAGCATAAGGAACTTACTTAATGCTAACAATAACTTACCAGGAACTATTAAAGCATTTATAAAGTCCTTTGTAAAACCTGGTGCTCTAACATTTAGGTCTTTGAGAGCAAGAGCATTGAAGTCAAGAGATGCAGAAACTCCAACAGAACCTACAGAAGGAACTGAAACACAGAAACTCCAGAAGAACCACCAAAACCAACAGCTAATGAAATATTGTTCGAATATTTTCCAAGGTACTCTGTTCTCATTGCATACATTCAAGAAATACTTAAGAAAGCAGACCTTGACTTTAGGAGATGATGAAAGTTCTGTATATCTTTCGTTCCAGTTTCAAATAGCAGAACTTTTGAGACAGATATGCTTAATGTATGACAACATCTCTGATTTCACAAGATATGATGACGACCATGACCCCGAACACGGTGAAGAAGAAGTTTTACAAACATCCATTAAGACAGGAAAGGTTTTAACTCAAAGTCTCATTATTGACACCAAAGATGGCGAAGTGGACGTTCTTCAAGAGCTGAAGAAAAATACTTCTGAAGGAGGTGGTGGTAGGCATGAACTTGAAATAAATGAGATAGAAGAGAAATTAGCCGAAAAAGCAGATAAAAACCATGTTCATTATATAAGTTCAGACGAACAGATTATAACGGACTACCATGGATATTTAACACAGGATGAAAAAGTGAAGACAGAAGATGTTAATGAAAGAAGATATAAATTCATTCGTGCTAAAGGTTATGACATAAGCTGTACTGTACAGTATGACACAGGTAAAGCACCAGAAGCATTTGGTTATAACGATGAAATTTATGCTTCATACTTCTCTGTTAACGGTGTATTAGTTGAACCAAGATTTACTTTGAGAGTTAAGGCAAAAATAACTTTTGAAGATGCTATTAAAAGTAAAGCTGACAAAGATGAACTTGACGCAACGAACAAAGTTTTGAAATCTCATAAACACAATATCTCCGATATAAATGAACTTCAAGCTACATTAAATAGTAAAGCTGACAAGAACCATACACATAAATCCTTCACTATTGTTAGAGCAGACGACATAATATTGAACTATACCCTTGGTTCAAGTGCACCTTTAGAGAATCCGAGTACAAGCGTAAAAGATACTCTTAACAATTTAGATAACAGTTGCAGGAATATCGAAGACCATGCCAGAAACTTTGAAGCATACGAACTACCAGCAATGTTAGATAAGAAAGCTGACAAAGAACATACACATAAATCATTCACTACTGTTAGAGCAGACGACATAATATTGAACTATACCCTTGGTTCAAGTGCACCTTTAGAGAATCCGAGTACAAGCGTAAAAGATACTCTTAACAATTTAGATAACAGTTGCAGGAATATCGAAGACCATGCCAGAAACTTTGAAGCATATGAACTACCAGCAATGTTAGATAAGAAAGCCGACAAAACAGAGCTTCAAACATTAAAGACTGAAATACTTCAAACCATATATCCTGTTGGTTCTATTTATACGTCAATGAATTCAACAAATCCAGCAACAGTTTTAGGTTTTGGTACGTGGAAGCAGATTGTAGATAAATTCTTATACTGTGCTAAATATTCAAAGCAAAACAGGAGGTTTCGAAAAGAATTAAAGAAGCAACTTACCACCCACACACTCATACAAGGAACTACAAACTTTTCTGGCGACCATAGCCACTCATTAAGAGACCACCCATTATACAACTCAGAGTATGAAGCTGGCAATGACGTTTTATCTCCATCTTATAACAATTCAGCAAAAAAGACTTTTCGACCAACTGAACCAGGAGGAAATCATGTCCATACTTTCACAACAAATCCAACAGGCTCGGGTGCAGATTATATGCCACCATTTGTGACTATATTCGCATGGTACCGCGTTCAATGAACGCGCTTGAGCCTAGAATAAAATCTTTAACTTTACATAAATGAGCTTGAAAGAAGTATTCGAACAACATCCATGGAGGTCATTTAAGAAGTTCAATGAAGCTGCAAAGAGTTGGGGATTTACTAACAGAGCTGAAGTGAAAAGGTTTTTTTGACAAAAATGTTGTACATCAAACAAAAATAAACCCTTACGACTACTTTTTACCAATTTACTCCAACGCTCCTGACGCATACCAATTTGACACTCTCATTCAAAGCAGAAAAGGAGGACATAAACCATTCCTCATCTTCATTAATGTTAACACTCGCAAAGCATATGCATATCCAATGAAAAATAAAGGAACTCATGAAGTGTTAAGAGTTTTGCAGACGTTCGTGGCAGAACATAGCCCAAGTACTTTAACATCAGACCAAGACAGTGCATACCTCAGCAATGAAATCACAGAATTTCTCATTAAGCATAACATAACTCACTACACTACTGAAGACCATAACCATAACATACTCGGCATCATAAACCGCTTCATAAGGACTCTCAGAGATTTAAATCAAGAGCGAGACTTTACCGAAGAAACAATGAAACATTTTCTCGAAGTATATAATTCCTCAACACATTCTACAACAGGACATGCACCAAATTCAATGACACAACAACAAGAAGAAAAGTATATACAAAAGAACGAAGTCAAACACAAAATATCAGAAATTCAACACAATTTACCCTCATTCCTGGACAAAAGTTCGTGTAGTTCTTGACGACAAACCGTTGACAAAGAACTTTAAGGTTAAGTAAGAAACTATTATATCGTAGACTCTACGCAAGGTAATGGATATCTTATAAAAGCTCTGACGACTCCATTGCGTTTATCCTCGTCATAAATTAGTTGAAAGTAGTAATGGCAAACTTGCTGAAACCATTGACGAAGCAAAGCGAGGAGTGGTTATTGAAATACTTTGATACAACATAAACGATGACACTTATAAAGTAAGATATGAAGGAGGCGTTGAAGATGTTATACCATCTAAGAACTTGAGAGAGTCAAGCCAACACATCTGGGACCATTAGAGCGGGAGTATGGAAAGACAAAAATAAGCCAGAAAGAATAAGAAAATTCTTCTAAACTTTTTCATTTTGTTGCTGAAAAATGACCAAATTTCATGAATTTTCATAAAAGATAAAAATAAAGTTAGTTTTATTTTTATTTATTTTTTTATCTCATATGTAAAGACAGTAATGTCAACAACAGAGAACACAACAACAGTTATAGTCCATGAAGCCATTAATGAAGAATATGAATACATACAGTATAACAAACAATTGAGACTCATTCGTTCAGTCAAAGATGACATGTACCAAATGCAGAGTATTTTGACAGCATGTTTTGCTCCAGAGAATAAAACACCAAATGAATGGTTTGAATTAAATAGCACTCATGAACTCCTCAGTGAGTTTGAACATGTAGAACTTAAAAAGATGTACCAAGACAGACAAAACTTACCATCACATCTAAAAGGTATATATGTTCATAAGTTCCTAGTTAGTTCAATAGCAATGTGGGCTTGGCCCCGTTATGCAATCTACATACTTATGCTACTTGACGAACTTTGGACAAAGCAGAGAGAAGATATGATGAAAGAAGACAAAAGCATACAGAAAAGAATACCACGTTCGGTACCAAAAGGAAAGGAGAAGAGCTATAAGTATATGATTTACACTGAAGAGTTGGAAAATGAAGAAGATAAAGATATGGTTATGTTACATTTAGTCAGAAGAAACAACAAGAGCTTTTATGACCTCGCTAAAATATATAAATCTGACAGAAACTGGTTCTATCGTGAAAACTTACCGATTTCAATGACACCGAATGAGCAAATAAAGGAAATTGTCAAAAATACTCTTCCTCAAACACACTATGACATCAAAGGTTGCACAATACTTACATTCAAAGAAGACTTAACATTACTGAAGGAAAAAATAACAGAATATTTCGACAACTTCACAGAGGAAGAATGAAGTCACGACAACATTAACGAAGAAGTCACGACAATATTAACGAAGAAGTCACGACAACATTAACGAAGAAGTCACGACAACATTAACGAAGAAGTCACGACAACATTAACGAAGAAGTCACGACAACATTGACGAACAGAGAATGTTCTGTTCGTCAAGTTTATTTTGTTTTTACCATTTAATTGTTTCCATAAACGCTCCATGTCGAACATAATTGACGAACAGAGAATGTTCTGTTCGTCAAGTTTATTTTGTTTTTACCATTTAATTGTTTCCATAAACGCTCCATGTCGAACATAATTGACGAACAGAGAATGTTCTGTTCGTCAAGTTTATTTTGTTTTTACCATTTAATTGTTGTAAAATATCCATATGAAGACTAACCAAAAATAAATTTTCTTATAAAGCTTCGGGGTCTATTTCTTCAACCATTTCACTTCCTTCGTCAATGTCAATAGAAGCTTCTTCAACCTATGGTAAGAATTTCTGTATAACATCTTTGTTCGTTATTGTCTTCAGAGATGAAGGATAATATTTCACATTTGTTTCACCCTTCTTATATTCTTTCTGTTCGGAAAGATTTAAAGCAATACTGAAGAAGTCAATGTTAGAGTTCTTTATGACAGTATAATGAGTATCTTTGACATTCACGAAGAAACTCTTTTGTTTCAAAACTACTGCTAACTCTTGTGAAGTATAACGTTTGCGGTCAATGACGATAGCTAATGGTCTGACATACTGACCAAACTTAGATTCTTTCACAAACTTCTTGTTAAAGATAACATTAACATTTGAAGCATTATTGAACTCATTCTTGATGGCAGTAGCGAGAGCATTGTATGAAAAGAACTTGCAATCTTGCATGTGTTTCATTAAAATAAAAATATTAAATTATTTTGAAAAATAACTTAAAAAAATCTAATCTAATTTTTTCAAAAAATATTTTTTATTTCCTACTAAAGATGTATCGGAAGTTGTCTAAGTTAGAACACTCGGAAATAAAACAACTTCTTACAGAAGCTAATATAGATGTTGCAAAGCATTACGCAACAAACAAAAAAGCACTCGCTGACATCCTCAATGACTATAATGGTGCAATAAGTTATGATAGAATTCATGAGTTCATAAAGCCGCAACGCGGCGAGGACGAAGTCCATGCAAGAGCATTTCCTTTAAATGACGTTGCTATTGACTTATATCATAGACGTTCAGTACCTCATGAAGTAAGAAGAGAAATGTATGACATAACAAATGTGAACGTTGGTGAAACAAGAAGAAGAGACGACACACTGAAACAACAGAGAAGAGAGATGTTTAAGAGCGCTATAGAACAAGTTCGCAAAGCTAACGATGTCCTTCGTTCCATTGACGACAAACCAAAAGAAGGTGAGAGATGGTTAAAGAAAGATGAAGAGAATAGGAAGAGGAATGTTAAGACAGGCAATAGACTCATTGACTTTAACATCGAAGCTTTAGATGAACCAAACAGAGACTACTTACACAAACATTTCGGTAAGGTTTTCATGAGACTCTTAGAGAAGATTAAAATAAACTCCCAACAAAGATGGATGGTATGGTATAAACTTGGTGGAAAGTATGAATGTTCTACGTTAAACCTCAATAATATTGGAACATTACTACATCAGCTCTTGAAGGAGAACTTTATATCAGAGATAGAAGCAAATGCTGCAGGTATTGTTGAAATGCACTATGACTTCTTCTTGACAAACATAAAGAATCTTACTGAAATAAAGATGTATGATTTAACAGAATATGAAGGCTTAACGATGTCAGATGTAAAGAAAGGCAAACCAAAAAAGAGACCATATAGAGATGAAAGCACACTGACAAATGACCAGAAAGCCATTTTGGAAGCTCTTAAGCAAACAGGAAACCCAGCACTTATAGAAAGCTTTTGGAAAGATAATGGTGAAAAGAAGTTTTATAAGAAGAGAAGCGGTCAGTTCTGGAAGTATCTTTGCACATTACCTATAAATCTTGAACGCTACCAAATCTTCAATGAACTGAACAAAAGAACTGCAACACTTATGACAGAAGATAACTGCTTCGTTTATGCTTGCATTCAGGCTGGAGTAAATGAAGAAACTATTGACCACATGAGAGAAGTCATTCGTGTTAGAGACTTTCCTCAAAGTAAAGTACAAGAAATTTCTGACGCAACAGGTATAGCATTTAATGTTACCATTGGTTACTTCAATGACTCAAGACATAATGAAATAAAGAGATACATACCAAAAGAATGTGAAACTGTTCGAACTATTGACTTACTTCTTGTTGAAGACCACTACATGCTAAATGAAAGATTACCAATGACAACATATTTTATCATAAATTATAAAGAAATTCTCAAAGCTTGTGGTGGAATGAACATTGAGAAACAGATGAAGATTTATACAAAGAGAGAGAACAAATATATTGTTCGTTATGATAGAACAACACCGTTATGGGATGTTATGAAAACATTGTGGGAGTGCAAATATTTCGAACCTATTTCTTATGGAGAACTTTTTACATATACGACTGACTTATATAAACAGAACCTTGCACCATTTAAAGATTTGACATATGCTCCAAAGTATTGTGTACAACTGAAGAAGAAAGCCGAGTCAAAAGAAGTAAATAAAAATAAGTGCAAGTTCATTCCTGAGCACGTTTTCTTTGCTGACTTTGAGTGCAGTACCGATGGAGTTCATAAAGCCTTTAACATTTGTTATGACGGTGAAGATGGTTCAGTGAGTGAAAGCATTTGGGGTCAGAACTGTGCAACAGAATTTTTGGAACGACTTCCTGACAAGAGTTTAATATATTTCCATAACCTCAGTTATGATATAAACTTCATCTTAAGACACATGACAGAAGTGAAAGGAACTCCCATCATTAAAGGTTCACGAACAATGCAAATAACTGGCTTATATAAAGGAAGGGCAATTATTATTAAAGATTCATACACTGTTATAAATAAGAAGCTTAAACTATTTCCTGCTATGTTTAACTTACAAACAGGACCGAAAGAAGTATTTCCATACAACTACTACAGCAGTGTTTTGTTAGCAAATGACAACAGAACTGGTGTCATTTCTGAAGCGTGTAAGTTTATCCAGGATGCGGATACGTTCATGAAAAACATAGATTCCATCAAAGGTTGCAGAATAGATGAAAACCATTTCGACTTAGAAAAGTATAGCACATTTTATTGCAAACAAGATGTAAGAATTTTAAGAGAAGGTTTTGTTAAGTTCCGCAATGACATATTAAAAGAATTTGATTTAAACGTTTATGACTACGTTAGCATTTGTTCAATTGCTAACAAATTGTTTGAGAACAGAGTGTACTTCCCGAATGGAAATCTTTATGACCACTCAAATAAACCAAGAGAATTTATTTCGAGATGCATTCAAGGTGGAAGATGTATGCTGTCAGATAACATGAAACAAAAGAGCGAAAAGAAACTCATTGCTGACTTCGACGCTGTTTCATTATATCCATCAGCTATAGCAAGACTTTATACTTTAGAAGGTATTCCAAAGGTTATGAAGAAAGAAATGTTAAGCACAGAGTATCTCATGAGACATTTATTCGATGACGACCAAAAGGAACCCATTGGTGAAAAGTTTATGTTTGGCTTCTTTGTTCTCATTAAGATAACAGAGATTGGAATACATAGACACTTTCCTTTAATAGTTTGTGACCCTGAACTAAATCCAGAACTTAACGTTCCCAGAAGTTCAAACACTTGCTGTTTAATGTATGTTGACCATATAACATTACAAGACCTCATAAAATATCAAGGTGTCAAATGTGAAGTGTTGCAAGGATACTATTACGATGGAAACAGAGATATTAGAATAAGAGATGAAGTAAAGAAGTTGTTTGAGTTAAGGTTAAAGTATAAGAAAGAAGGAAATCCTTTGCAAGAAAATATAAAGCTCATTCTGAACAGTATTTATGGCAAAACTATTCTATCTCCTATTGAGTCAAAAATAACCATAGTAAATGACAAAGATGCTATAAGATATGCCATCAGAAACTACAACCATATATTGAAGTTCGAAGGTTTGGATGGTTCAGATAAAACTATTTTCAAGCTAACGAAAAGCATTTGCAGACACTTTAACTTCTGTCCACTTGGTGTTAACATTCTGTCAATGTCGAAGAGAATAATGAACGAAGTATTCTGTACTGCTGAAGATATGGGACTTCAAATATTTTACCAGGACTGTGATAGCATGCATATTTTCAATGAAGACATACCAAAGCTTGCAGCAGAGTTTAAGAAGAGATACGGTCGCGAACTTATAGGAAAGAACCTTGGTCAATTTCATTCTGACTTCGCAGAAATAACACCTGGAAAACAAAGTTTAGCATACAAGTCAATATTTTGTGGAAAGAAGACCTACATAGACTTACTCACGAATGATTTAAATGAAGTTGCATTTCATGCACGTTGCAAAGGTGTCAAACAAGACGTTCTTGCTTTAACAGCTAAGGAAATGTTTCCTGAAGCTATACAATGCTATTACAATGAAGATAAGAACATTCAGATACCTGTTGGAACATATGACAAAGACTCTGAGTTCAGTTTAATGAAACTTTACAAAGCACTTCATGATGGTCAAGAGATTGGATTTGACTTATGTAAGTCTTCTAGTCCTTGCTTTGCTGAAAAGTTTAACTTCTCAATAACGACTAAAACAAGCTTTATTCGTAAGTTGAAGTTCTGAGGTCATTTATTTTTGTCAGCAATGAGGTCATGAATGAGGTCATTTATTTTTGTCAGCAATGAGGTCATGAATGAGGTCATGAATGAGGTCATTTATTTTTGTCAGCAATGAGGTCATGAATGAGGTCATGAATGAGGTCATTTATTTTTGTCAGCAATGAGGTCATGAATGAGGTCATGAATGAGGTCATTTATTTTTGTCAGCAATGAGGTCATGAATGAGGTCATGAATGAGGTCATTTATTTTTGTCAGCAATGAGGTCATGAATGAGGTCATTTATTTTTGTCAGCAATGAGGTCATTCGTGATAAAAATAAAACTAGCGTAGATTTTACAATACTGCGATGGTAGAGTTTAAGAGTTGTGCTTCAATGTAGAGACAGTCCTTATGGTCTGGAGGTAAGAACACTGGGCAGTTATGGTCATGAGTGGAGAACATGTCTATCCAAAACTCACGATTGAAGCCAGTTAATTTATAGTATTTAGGGTTAGGAAGTGGTGAAGTTCTTGTATGACCAATGAACTCATTTTCAACTCCCTTACTTAAGTTTGAATATAATATAGCTTGCTTTCTATCCCAAATACCTGGAAATCTAATTTCGGAAAATTCATTTTTCCTCGGAAGCATTGCATCATAATTGAAAACATTTTTGAAATCATCACTTGGTTCAGAGATTTGAAATCTTATACGTAATGGATTTTCTTTCTCTTTAGCGACTTCATTGAATGGTGAATATATAACAAACTGACAGTCATGTGTTCCATCTTCATTTTCATTAAATTCATAATGAAAGTCTATAAGTTGTGGCTGACTACCTTCTTCTTTCAGTTGTGCAAGAAACTCACGTAAAGGCTGTAAAGTTTGTACTTCAATGTTAAACTTTTTCTCAAACATCTCATTAAATGAAATCATACATTGTTGCAATGTTGTATCGTCTTTAAAGTATTTGTATATGTGAATGTTTTGGGCGCTTAAAGACTGTTCGTCATTTTCTATCTCGACTTGAAGTATAAAGTCAACCTTTCTGAAAGCACGTGTTATATACATATTTGTTATGCCAATGTACTTCTCTTCATTTATGTTCACAATCCAGTCTGTTGGAAACTTAAACGTTACTCTGTTCCCCTTTATTTTGACGTCAGGGTTTTCACTACTGAACGCAACAGATAAAGGTATTTGTCTATACATTTAATTCGGATAAAAATAAACCATTTACTCTTTCTTTGCTTCAGCTTCTTTAGCTTTTGCTTCAGCTTCTTCTCTAGCTTTCTTCGCCAGCAAACGTGGGTTCTTTTGTCTTCCAGCAGCTAATGCAGCAAGTTGTTTTTCACTAAGTTTTCTCTTTGGTCTCTCTGGCTTTTGTTCTTGTTTTTGTTCCTTCAGTTCGGATAAAATTTGCTCGCGAATTTCTTTCTTCAATGCTTCAACATCTATGACCCCTTGGGTCTTGTCCGTAGGGCTTGTCTGAGTCATTTGACTGCAGATAAAAAAACAAAATTAAAACTTTAACCGATGTAAAATGAGCTTGTCAAAATCAGAGCGAGAGTCTATTATATTAAATGACGCAAGAGGAATACAACATCCTTTCTATTACGTAAGTCAGAGTAAAGATGGTAAAATATACGTAAGAAAAAGAAAGGTTCCATTAGCGAATGCAGAAAGCGACAACATTAAGGTGTATGGCAAGGGTGAAGTCCACGAAGCCCATATAAAACCTTCTGTTCAAACTGAGCCACCAAAAGAACAAGAAGAAAAGAAGCCAGATGTACTTTCAATAACGAACCAAGAGCTTATTGCAAAGTTCGTGAATTTCATTGAAAAACAAACCGAGTCAAAGAATCCTGACCCGCCAGTGAAA